AACGCGCACCTCTGCGACTGAAACTCTGGGAAAAGATGGGTTTTGCGATCCAGCAAATTGCACCTTTATCTATGCCAGTGTGATCGGTATGTTATGGTACCTATATGGGCACTCCAGGCCAGATTTAGGTTTTGCTGTCAGCCAATCTGCCCGGTTTGCTTTCCAACACAGGAGGAGCCATGAGCTCGCTCTGATCCGCATTGGCCAGTATTTGTTGAAGACCCAGGAGAAAGGCCTTACAATGAAGCCAATTACCCAGGATTCCTTCAAGATGGATGCCTATGTGTATGCAGACTTTATGGGTCTTTATGGGAAGGAGACAAGGATCGATCCTGCCAATGTCAAAAGCAGGACTGGCTTTGTCATTTGCCTCAATGACTGTCCAATAGTCTGGGCGAGCAAACTGCAGCAGAGCATCGTCCTCAGCACCATGATGTCTGAGTACTATGCCTTAGCCACCTGTATGATGGAGGTGATCCCATTGCGAAACACAGTGAAAGCTGTCGCCAAAAGGATGGGCATTAATGAGCATTGATTGACCTCGTTCAAGACCACTGTCTTGGAAGACAACGTGGGAGCTCTAACTCTGGCAAAACTGGAACCAGGTCAAAGCACTCCTCGCTCAATGTTCTATGATGTGAAGGTGCATTGGTTCCGCAGTCATCTCAAGCCTGGTAAGCTCGAGGTGGCGAAAATCGACACAGCAGACCAGCTCGCTGACATGTTCACCAAACCCTTAGCGAGAGAAGTCTTCGAACGGCTTCGACTTCGTTTAATGGGCTGGTAGCGTGCTACAGTTTTTTTCAGCTCGCGGAGTAAGATATTTTCTTCTCCTCTGGCTCGAGCTGCATGTTGTCGTCGCTTTGGAGCTAGCGGAAGAGATGTTGGCGTCGTTCTACTGGTGCGCACGTCATTGGATTGCGCGCGCAAGCTAGATCTCGCAAAAGAGGGAGAACTCCTTTCTCGCCAACTCCAACTCTACCAAATTGATTGCGTCACGACAAGGGCACTCCAACGTCACCATGTCACGTCGCGCGCGATCTCCACGCTGTAATTTTCAAATTCAAGTCGTTGCTAGCGCAAAAGTTGATTTCCATCTGGACGTCGAAAACTACCACGCTGAGAAACCACGCCAATCAACACCGTTTTTGCGAAGTGGGTTTCGCTCCAGAGGGAGCTCAACAACAACAACTTGATTTGAAGGCTCACAAAATCGAAGTGGACCTACAATAGAAGGACTGCTACGACCACGAGCTGCACACACCCTGCATTTTATTATCTGTTGCATATCTACTCCATCTTGAGATCGACCATGAAGCGCACCGGAAAGAACAACCAAAGCAACAAGAAAGAACCGTCGCAAGGTGCTTGTGGGTACTCCCAAGAAAGTTCCAGTTGCTGCTGAAGCTCCTCCGAAGAAGCCAGATCCCAAGAAGGCTACCGTGAAGAAAGCATCTGGGAAGAAGCAAGCTATCTTGAAGCCAACCGCGGTTACACCTGTTGCAAAGGCCGACCCTGCTGACAAGGTTGAAGTGGGAACGTTGCTACAAGAACCTGCCGTCAACAAGCTCCTCGCCATGCTAACCAGACAGCCTGGTCTGTTCACTCAGGTCGCCAATTCAGCTGCTGCAGTCGCCGACAATTCAGCAGCATCCAACAACTACGACTCGGTCTCCGAAAGCAGCGTCGTGGAAGTCGTAGCCGCCACTTCCAAGAAGGTCCCCAAGACAAATAGAGCTGGAACTGCCGTAGCAATCAAACAAGAAAGCAAAGCCTGCCGGGAATGACATCTCGAAGCTCGATGCCGACAAGTCTGTTGTTCTAGTTCGATGCTGTCCAGCTCAAGATAGCAGTCGCAACCTCACAGTCGAGGTGGTCGGGAAGCGTTGGTTCACGGACTTCCTTACAGCCCACCAGGTCGAAGATCGTGGTCTGAGCGTACTCGACATCGAGACCAAAAATGGAGGTCGCTCCGCGCTCATTTCCAAGCTAGTGGCTTTCATGAAAGACACGGTGTACAAGACTCGTATCCCTTCTGTTACGAAACGTCGAACTTGTCTCCAGCATTTCATGCGCACGGGAGTTCAACTTTTGGGTCTCACCATTGAAGAACAGCGCAAGGTGCTCTCCCAGAGGAACGGGACGTGCTACGCGCCTCGGAGAATGACTATGAATGGAACACCCTGAGAGCCATTCATTGAAGTTGCGACGACAATGATGAAAAAGGAGCAGGACGAAGAGTAGGACGGAGCACAGAGCGAGAATTAAGCGAGGACAGGTTGATCTAGAAAATAAAGAGATGGAGCACTACCAACTACATTGCATGTTTGTGTTTGTTTAGAGTTTGACATCGTTGTGCAGCAAAGAGGACTACGGTACAAAATTTGCTACCCGTTCGGTTCAAGAGGGAGTGCGAGAGAGCCAAAACCAGCTGGTGGTTGGCAATCACGAGGTGAACCTCCCGGGACTCGCTAGAACGAGGTAGACGTAGAATCCCCTTTTAATTTTTAGCTTATTCTTTTGTGTCATCCCATGTCTACATCGTACTGCACATCGGCCTCCGTTCGCACGCACAAGCTTTCGAGAGCAGAATAGAAATCCGCCGCACTTTAGCACTCGATGATCACAACAAGCAAGACAACAGAACCACCATGATGAACGACTACTATCAAAACTCGGACTATGACTTTGGTGGCCCTGTCGACCCTGGCAATGAAGAGAACATTGTGTCTCCAGAGGCTGTGCCAGGAGGATTGCGAGCAAGGCCCGAGGTAGATTTCAATGATAAGAAGATTGGAACCCTTCCCAAGATCTTGTTGATGGGGCCTAGGCGTAGTGGAAAGACCAGCATACAGGTACGTAAAGTCAAGTCAAACAATATATGTTGATGTGCTTGTTTGGATTATTATTAACTATTGTTTCTTCCTTGATTTATTTGGTTACAAAAAGAGAGTTGTGTTCCAGAAAATGTCTCCCCACGAAACTCTCTTTCGCTTGGAGGCGACACAAGAACTGGAGCGATCTGTGGTGGATCATACATCTCTGTGTCGATTCACTATCTGGGACTTTCCTGGAGACTATTATGCACTCCCGGACGATTTGGAAGCCACCAATAATGATACCACTAATAATGCAGAAGAAACCAAACGAACCATCTTCCAGGGCAGCACGTCCTTGCTCTTTGTGGTGGATGCGCAAGATGAACCATACGATCACGTCTTGCAATCATTCACTAATGCCGTCACACAGGCACTCACTGTCAACCCCAGCATTTGTGTCGAAGTATTCATCAACAAGGTAGACGGGGAACTCTTCCTCAGTGATGAATCCAAATACGACTGTCGGAGAGATATTATGAGTCAAGTCACCGATGAACTGGCCGAAGCTGGAGTCAGCCCCGACAATTTACACATTCGATATCACTTGACCAGCATTTATGATCATTCCATCTATGAGGCATTGAGTCGAGTGGTCCAACGTCTCATTCCGCAGCTGCCCACTCTGGAAAACTTGTTGAACGTACTTGTCAGTACCTGTTCCATGGAAAAGGCATATCTATTCGATGTCGTCAGCAAGCTATACATTAGCACGGATTCTGGTCCTGTCGATATGCAGTCAGGTGCGTGCCGCAAAAATTAATATCGCAATGGCATGATCATGGCAGCATGATCATGACAGCATGCCCTCACATAATATTGCCTTTTCTGCATGTACCAGTGGAGCTTTGTAGCGATATGATTGATGGTGCGTCCGGTCGATCTTCCCCTTGAATGCTGTGTGATTGTGTCCATGCGGAGTTGAGTTGAGTCGAGTCTAACCCATCTCTCTCTCTTTTTGCTCTTTTCAACCCACCAGTTGTGCTTGATGTCAGTGGCATCTATGGGCTCGGACCGGAAAATCCTCCACCGGGTGAAGATCAACCGGCAATCAGCAATGGGGAGGGAGAGAGATCAGGAGACAAGCAACTCGTTGTTGACCCTCTGCTCCCAAGCACCCTCGCAAGTCAAGTGCAATCGGATGATATTGATGATGGCATCATTCATCCAGACTCTGCCTATGACAGTGAAAGTGCTAGTGTTATTCGTCTAAGCAATGGAATGGTAAGCTTGCAAGGCATTCACTCATCTACTTGCTTCTTTGCAGCAGGTGGCTGCCAATCTCAAAAGTTGTTGTTTATTTGATTGAATTCTCTCAACAGGTGTTGTATCTGAAAGAAGTTGATACCATGTTGGCTCTTGTTTGCATTACTCGATCAGAGAACTTCAGGAAAAAGAGCATGATCAACCACAACATTGGACAAATCAAGAAAGCATTGCATGCTCTGGTTTAGCTTGTGCTTTCTGGTGTATGTTTTGGGTGCATTTGTCTAGTCGTCACTATGATGATAGTTGTTCAGTATAGATCTAAACTTGTCTAGCTAGTGGTCATTGGTCTTGCTTTATTCACACAAAAAGTTGGTTGGTTAAAAAAAGCTGAAGAGATCTCTGCATAGCTAGTGCCAGCAGATCAATATCATGGTCATGCATGATCAGCTCTTCGCACCTCAATTGCCTTTTTTTTAAAAACCACTCATTTCTGTCTCTGTTGATCCGGCAAAGCCAAGCCCTTTGGCCCCAGTGCTGGTCCTTGATTTATCTCCCCTGATCCCACGGAACCTAGCTAGTCCTGTTCGACTCTTCTTGCCTGGCCCTCACTGGCTCCGGTAGATAGCATCCCTACTCTAAACCCCCAATATATCTAAAAGACAAGAAAAGTGTGAAGTCCTTCTTTCCCGCTTTCTTTGGGTTTCAGTTCATTCTGGTCCTGCCGCCATACTCAAACGGGTAACGAGTAGGACGTCAGCAAAGATATCTTCCTTGCCCTTCGCCCTTCGGAACACTGAAAGATCCACAGACCACAGAGATCAAGGTTTGACGAGCTTCACTCAGTTTCGTCCACAGACCTCTGCCATCACATCTCCTTCCCAACCCGACAGGCAGGTAGTTTTGCATTCATTCATTGAATTATTCAAGAAAGCTAGCGATAGCCACGATGATAATTTTAGAGCAAGGCCGTTATCTGCTTTATGCGGCCATGTCTTGTCCATTTGCTCATCGGGTCCGCATGGTCCGGTTGCTACAAGCCGATCAACTGGAAGATGTGATCGATCTAAATTTCGTCACGGGACAATCGGCAGAGGAAGGATTTCACTTTTCAGGAGTTCCAGAACCACTCTTTCAGGCCCCGTCGCTCAAGCAGGTTTACCACCAGGCCAATCCCGACTATGTGGGACGATTTACCGTGCCTTTGTTAGTCGATCGCACCACCCGGAAAATGGTAGACAACGAATCAATGGACTTGGCCATTTCTCTCATCAAAACCACACAAGACGACAAATCAGCGCTGGATCTTTTGCCAGAGGGAGCAGAGGCATTGGCACGAGACCTGAGTGACAAGGTAACCACGGCAGTTTACAAGTACTTGTTCAACCCAGATCCAACGGCAAAGCAAGAGGTCAAGAAGGACTTGTGGGCGCAATTCGACCACTACGAAGATCTCTTGGGAAAGCAAGATCACTTGATGGGATCCACTCTGTCTCTTCCCGATTTGGTATTATGGGCCACATTGATTCGATACGACAATGTTTATGCTCGCCAGTTTGGTATCGAGGGCAAGTCGCTCCACAAGGATTATCCCAATTTGAAACGATTTGCCCGAAGAATCTGGAACATGCCGTCCAAGTCGAAGAGTGGTATCACTTTGGGAGAGGACGCGAACCTACCAGAAATCATTCGCACATATTGGCAATCGGGAAATCTAGCACCAAAAGCAGGCAATGATCCAACGTCACCACCCCCAGAAACCTTGCCAGTCCTCTGATGTCAATCCTTCCAGTCAAGCAGCCAGGTATCTGGTGTAGGTGTTGGGTTTTGAGTAATGGTCACAGTTAACCAAAAGAGCAGATATCATACATGCACAAGTTCTTTATGGCGGACCTGGCACCAAAGAGTTGGGAACAAACTGGCTGGTGCGTCTAAAGGTGCCTTTCAGACAGTCACTGCAGAAGACTTTACCTGGTATGCACTCTAGCTAGACAATAGACACATCGACGTCTACTAGAATGTAGCTAGTGTCGACTCCTCATTCCAAGATATATATTGTCCGAGGAATCGAATCCGATTGTAGACTCCTTAGGTTGGCTCCATTCACTTGTTGCAGTGGTGCATTTGAATAAAATGCATGTATTGTAAGTTGCAATCTGCTTGCTTCGGACTGAAACTGGGTTTTCACTCTTCATGGATGCATGCTGCCTGGTTGCAATCTGCCCTTTCTGTGTCTTTAGACAACATGACTGGGAACGTTCGGGGCGACTTGATCATGAAACTTGGTCGTCACTTTGGAAACCTTTGGGACCTCAGGAATGAATGGAATGTGGAATGCATAGTTAGAAGCTGTAAATCTGTACCAGCCCCCTTTCATTGGATGAAGTAACAGCACCACAGCCAAGCAACTCCCACCGTACCTGGTACCTGCATTCGGTATTGCTTCAGCTAGTAGGCTACTACAGCCTTTCTCTGATTGATTCCAGTCCGCTGCGGCTGGATAGTGGCCACGTCAAGCGGCACAAAGGAAGCTCCTTGTATCACCGGTGTGCCTATGGATATACCAGTATCCGGATAGTTCGAGGAAAGCCGAAAGCTTGATGCGTGTGTGTGCCGGGTTCTAGTACAAGTACCGGTACCGGTATCGACTACCGTATCAGTGTTTGTTAGCTTAGCTATTTTAATCTATGATACTTGTATTTCTACGACGTCATCATGACATCAACAAAGAGCTTTTTAGAATTCTCCTCACTGGTTCGTGCCAAAACAAAAGACAAAAGACTTATGAAAGAACTTCAACTGGTCATAGGATGACCGAGGAACAGTTCAACAATCACTTCAACTTGATTTTGGTCATTGGTACCATTAAATATTGCGTTCACTAGGTCAACAAAGTTTTCGAATTTCGATGACTCCAGAAATGTCACTCTGTAATTTTCTATCTCTTTCTAATCTTAGCCGTTGCGAAAGGTTCCCATCAGCTCCAACAAGTGCTCCCTTCACCCTTCCTTTGGCCACTCAAACCGAGAAGTCGACGTAACAAGGTTCTTTCAACTTTCAAGCAGTTAGACCTGGTTTCCTCTTCCTTTGTGGTCGGAGATTCGAGAGGTCAAAGAGTCTAAGTCAATTCCAGTAACGATGTCCAAAAGTGCGATATAGCTCATCATTCCTTCCCCCACAGCACAACTACCGCTACCGGTACCCAGTCTCCACTTGAGAAAAAGAAGATTCGAATCGCCGCTCCATCCCTTATTATTGTCACGGTGTTTGCTCACAGCTGGCGGAGTAATTGTAGGTCACAACAAGTCCCATCGAGCGACGTCTGGGTTTTTCATCCATCCACAGTCTTTGTCATCGTGGTTTTCGAATCTCGAATCCTCAAGCAAAGACACACAATACCTAAGCAGAAACACTACCGTACTGAACCTACAACATGGAGTCATTGACGAAGGAAACAAACAACATGGCGACAATCCAGCAGACCCCGGCCCTTATGGAAGAGGAGACCAGCAGTATCGATACCCCCGCGTCATCTGAGAGTGAAGTCAGCATTGAAGAAAAGGAACGAAGAGTTCAGTTCGACGACAAGGTCAAGTTCATCCGATTCGAGGTGGACGCCAACATGCGAAAGCACAAGTGGTATCGGGTAAGTGTGTGTCAGTGAACTGCATGGTTGGGTCTTTTCTTTGTCAATACAACAACACGTTCTGACAATGACATGTTCTTTCTTATGACAAACAGAAATCCGACTACAAGAGATTCCACCACGAAAAGAAAGAGACACTGAGACAGTTTCGTTTCGCCCAGTCCAAGTTTCAACGCATGGAAGAGGACATCTTTTGCCTCCGGGGCTTTGAAGCCTGTCTCTCTGTCCGAGCCGTCAATCAAAAGTGGCTCCACCGAGTATCGGCAGTACAGTCCGTGTTGGAAACACAATACCACCAACGAACGCAAGGAGTCTACGATCCCAAACGAATCCAGTCACGCTACTGCAAGGTTACGGTCCCTTGTCGCAACCAGGCACTGGAACGAGCGGCACTGGATGCCCGTGAAGTACAAAAGCAACAACTAGAAGCCGCCAATCAACAGCAGCAGCAGCAGCGGGACAATACGGAAGCGGAGTCGCTAAAGCACCAGTTCGACCGATTGTTGAAGATCAAGTCGGGACCCGTGCAACCCAGTTTGCGGTCAGCGACATCCGGGCCACTGCAACTACGAAAGACAGTGCCATCCACGGCTTAGCTCATCAGATTCGATTCTGCCTGCCGGCAAAGAGCTTTTGGACGAGCTCCTGATTTTTCATTATTCATAGCCCACAAATACATAGTTACATTTTGAAAACACATGTTAGCATGCATTGCCTATAGACTATTGCTTCAACTGATCGTTCCATTCCATTTGGGAGATGATCAGGCTGATGGAAACTTGCAGGGCAGGCTGTGGCTAGAGTTCTACCGTACGGATAGACATCCATGCAAACATAGCAACGTTTCAATCTCAGTCTGCACAGCTATTCTATACCTTTTCCGAGGTTTGTCATTTGCGGAGGATGCACCGATGGGCTACCGGTAGCTACCGGGTACCGGTACCTGGGCTCGGCGGAACTCAAACCCGGAACCAGGGCTTGACCCACGGGCAATAGACTGCAAAGGCTTCAAGCTCAAGTACACACGCATGGACGGTGTGCTTCAAGCTTCAAACTAAATCGAGCTAGTCCTCTCGTGCTGTCGTGGAAAACGGCGATGGTTGCCGTCCCTCCCGAGTTCTACGGCGAGGTAATAAGGTGGTACCGTAGCTGAGTGGGAATTCTAGTCTCGCTCCAAAGTCAGTTGAAGGGGTGGGCCCAGAAGCTCAAAACCGATTGTACCGGTAGTCCAGCTCTGGCAAGCTCCCTGCAACGCAACATACAAGAATAGCAAGACATCATTCTTTAGACCGCTGTTCCATTGGGCCACATCTCCTATACAATACCTTCTTCATTGAGTATCTGGTGAACATGGTCTGCCTTTTTGTCCGCTACTTCGTTTCCTACCTAATGATGCCTCTGCAGCTACCGGTACAGTTAGCCAATCGACCCATTTTCACACCGCAACTTCACTTTCGAAAACGAATTGGCATGCATCCGTCTGTTTGTCTCCCAACATGAAAGACAAGGACCCAGGTTTTCTCATGACCTCATTAGTCAATCAAGACCTGAAGTGTCCATCCCATAGTACGGTAGCCACCACCGGGATACTGTAATGCATTGTAAGATCAAGCAAGTTTTCAATCCCCGATCAGCTTGTAGCCTTTTGTTCAGCCACAGGGATGATCTATTCCAAAGGCCCAATGGTGAGGGGCCAGGCACCAACACTGCCTTTACCATCACCAGCCCCACCAATGTATTCCACGGTGCATCCATGTATGGTACCCAAAACTACCGGTAACCAAGGCTCACACGGCACCAAAATGTAGTTGGGTGCTTGCCAAGAAACTAGCAGTATCACTACAAGAATTAGTAAACAGTTTACTAGCAATTACTTTCGTTAGGCAATGAATAAAAAGTCAAATGCATTTGGAAAGGCCACAAGATGAATTTTAAAATGATGCAGGATCGTGGTAGTTTAATCACTGGTACTACCTTCCTTTTCGGCTTGAATTTTGGCTAGAATGGCATCCCTCGTGGCCTGTTCGGTATTGGCATACGCTGCAGCAGCCTTCCAGGAACAGACAATTCCATGTTCGGAATTTTTGAGAGCGGACATCTTCCATTGGAATTTGTTGAAGGATCGGCTTTCCGGTCTCATGTAAGGGTCCATGGCCCGAATGTCGGGTCCAAAGTTTTCATCTTGTAGCTTTTGGGCATTGACGGATTTTCTGTCGAATGAATAAAAAGTGTGTGTGTGTGTGAGAGAGACATGCACGGAGCACCAACAGGATGGGGAGTGATGTCAGTCAGTGAAGATTGGATCCACTTACTCTCCGATACGGCTCCTGGCCTTGGCATCGAGCTCCTCTTGCGAGGGCATGCCACTGGAAATAAAGTCGGCGAATGGATTGAACGGCATGGTTCCTTCTTTCCTTCCTGATGAACTGCTGGAGAGACTAACTAATCGACGACGGTTGCGATGAGAACGATGTGTTGGCCATTGTCGCCTGTCGTCGCTGCTGAGGTTTTGATTTGGGGGTTATTTAAAAGGGGGTTGTTCAAGAGGGGTGATTACCCCCAATTTCAAAGATTCCACATTCCTTTCCCAAAAAACCTCTCAGCACCACCGAAACGGTTGTCTCACATTTTCTTCCAACTTTCATCTTCTTGGCAATGGTCTGGATAGCTGCTTCCTTTTAGCTATCACAGTATCACAGTAGCTACTACTCATCATCTATTCTATTGAACTCAATTTTTATTTATTCAATTACAATCCAGCCACGATGCAGCACGACGAGATGATATGGCAGGTGATCAATCACCAGTTTTGTTCGTTCAAGACAACGATTGGCAAGGCCAAGAGCGACAAGACGCATTTCTGTCAACATCCGTACTCGGTAACGGGGTTGTGCAATCGAACTTCGTGTCCGCTTGCGAATTCCAAGTACGCGACGATTCGAGAAGAAAAAGGACGCGTCCATCTCTACATTAAAACGGTGGAACGAGCGCATTCTCCCAAGAATCTGTGGGAAAAGATTCTCTTGTCGCGCAATTATTCCAAAGCCACGGCACAGTTGGACGAACATTTGGCGTACTTTCCCAAGGTCCTCATTCATCGCAACAAACAGCGATTGACCAAAATTCATCAATATTTGATTCGCATGCGCAAAATCAAACTCAAGGAAATTGCCGGACGCAAAGCCAAAATGGTAGGCATTCATCGCAAGATTGAACAACGCGAAGAACGCAGAGAACGCAAGGCATTGGTGGCTGCCAAGTTGGAACGCAACATTCAAAAGGAGTTGGTGGATAGATTGGCCAAGGGAACCTATGGAGATATCTACAACTTTCCAGAAGCGCCGTACCAAAAGGCATTACAGCAACAACAAGAAAAGGAAGAAGAGGAAGAGACGGATGAAGAAACAGATGAGGAAGAGGAAGGAATGGTCGAGTATGTGGAAGATTTGGAATCGGACGAAGAAGAAGAGCAAGAAGATATTGAAGATGTCCAGTACATGGGAAATGGAAAGTGGGGAAGTGAAGAAGAAGACGACGATGATGATGGCAGTAATGAGGACGATAGCAGTAGTGATTCTGACGAGAGTGCAGATTCAGAAGATGACAGACCGTCAAAGAAATCCCGTGGAAATGATCCCAAATCCAAAAAGAAGAAACCTAGCAAACCGGCTGCTAGAAAGAAATCGGGAACTCGTATTGAAATCGAATACGAAGAAGAACGGGAAGATGAAGCCATGCCTGCGGCTGCTGCCACTGTCGATTGGTAATAGATATTGCTTTTGTTTTTGTACTGTACAGGTTGTGTCTGTCATACTATGCACGCATTTGTTTATTTTGGAACAATCATAGTCACTTTTGCAGCTGGAGGTGGCTCAAGCTTACTGTACCGGTAATCTGCTACTTGCTAGCTAGCTAGTGCGGATGGATGTCCATCGTGTTCATTTCCCGTCCAAATTACTAATATGGTTTTGGCTTCTAAAGAACAGTTTCCTGCGGTACGGGTACGTACCGGTACATACCCGTACCTCCCTCCTCGACGTGTTCTTGTCCGTGGGAGATACACACGCTACTACCGTACTAGTAGTAGCTCCCTTTCCAAGCGCTTGCTTGCTAGCTACTAGATCAATTTTCATGGCTATTTTAAGTTTAAAAGAGTTTATCTTCGCCCTACTAGTTGCCAGATTGAGAAACCAACACAGGGATGCATTAGCAGCTGGCTTGAGGCAGGATTCGATTGGATTCGATTCCCTCAAATTGATTTTTAAGGTATGCGAATTTAAAGTGCGCTTCCAGGGCATCCATTGTCATGTAACCATTGCAGCAAATGATCGTGCCCCTTGTCTACAGCAGAGTGCCAAGTTGATTCATCCCAGGGGCAGTCATGCTCACGGGCATACTTCAAGATTTCCAAGTGCCCGTTTCTACTAGCTTCCCTGCATGTGTCTTCATCCCATGGGCAGCCATTCTCATGGGCATATTTCAGGGTTTCCAATTGGCCATGGAAGGCAGCGGAAGCACATGTCCCTTCATCCGATGGACAGCCATTCTCGAGGGCATATTTCAGGATTTCTAAGTGCCCATTCCAGCATTGAGACATGTGTTTCATTCCATGGACAGCCATTTTCATGGGCATATTTCAGGGTTTCCATTGGCCATGTAAGGCATCAGAGTACATTGCTTGTGTCCAGGGCAGCCATTTTCATGGGCATAATTGAGGCGTTCCAAGTGGCCAGTTAGAGCAGCACTGATACATGTGCTGTCATTCCAAGGACAGCCATTCTCATGAGCATACCTTAGGACTTCCAAATGGCCCCTTCAGCAGCAGCAGAACATGTGCCCCAATGCCATGGACAGCCATTCTCATGAGTATACCTCAGCAAAACCAAATGGCCTCCTGCTGCTGCTGCAGAACATGTGCCCACACTCCACGGACAGCCATTCTCATGTGCGTACCTTAGGACATCCAAATGGCCAAAATAGGCAGCATGTGCACAGGTTCTTTCATTCCAACGCAACCCTTTCTCTCGGCCCCATAGTAGCACTTGTTGACAACCCACCTTGGCAGCAGTAGAACAAAATTACTGTGCCATCAATCTGTCCACCTGTGCCAGCATGTTGGTAGGTGTACCAATACTCTGTGCAGGACACAGAAGAGACAATTGCGCTATAGAAAGTATCTGTGGGCGTTGCTACTAACCTAAAAGGATACTCATTGATCTTTGGAGGATTCTCCACTTTTTCACAGTATTCCTTGTAGAGATGTTTCTTTTTGTGGCTGACAGGTGCCACAAAGACAAAGGGCATGTTTAAAAGGGCATGTTTTCAAACGAAACTCAGCCGTGGGAATTTCAAGTTGTTTAAATCCTGAGTGTAATCCACCCGTCAACGCCCTCGTAGCTCTGGTACACTTTCTACTGTCGAAAGTTCTCAACGGTCGAAATCCCCGTGTTATTTAACTCGATAGGCTAATTCGGATTTCGAAATCTTACATACAGGATTGAAATCGCCGGTAACGGCCTGATGTCAGAATCCAATCGGATTTTCGTACTGAAACCTGTATAGTAAAAATTTGATGTGACATTGATCTTCAAAAATCCAGTCTGATCTTCGGCCGTTTCTCAGAAATCCTGTTGCCGGGATAAACCACTGTATAAAACCAGTATGATCCCATTCCACAGATTCTGGAGATTTATATAAGAGATGTCTCATCGGACGTTCGTTGGATTTCACTCGGATTCTGACTGGATTTTTCGACAGTTGAGACCTTTTCCTTTGCGTGTGTGTTTGTTGAGTATCGAATTGTTACGATTCAATCCATGCATTGTCGCTGGGTTTGATTTGATGCCACCCACCATACAAATCAACCATACGAAACAGGGCATCAATCAACCAACAGCAACAATCAATAGTTTGAAAATTAGGTACGATTCAATGGAACGTTTCCGTGAACATGTGTAAATTTTTCGGTGCATGTGCGTCATTCGTGGGATCGATCGAACTAAACCGTATCTTTGAGAAGCAAATATGTTTTTCCACTTTCTGAGACAATTCCTATGTCTATTCTTTGCACAAGATGATGGAAAAATGTAATTGTTTCTAATGTTTAGGGTTCTTAGCAAACGGAACGTTAAGAGAGAACCAACAGTCGGAACGTCCAAATGGGAACCACTCCACCCAAAAAGAGACCACAGTTTGCCTCATAATCTCCACAATCGAAAAGCCACAAGGAAACTATGCCCTTTTTTCTTCGATTTTCAGACCGAAACTACACAATAGCCCCACAAATAACCCCCACCATGGCGCTCCCTCATCAAAAGGACGATCCGTTCTGATTCTGGTTGGCGGCAGGAAAGAAGTTGCCATTGGCGTCTCGAAGCCATATCTGCTGCTGCTGCTGTGGTTGAGCGGGCTGCATCATCTGTTGAGCTGGCTGCATCTGTTGAGCGGGCTGTATCTGTTGAGCGGGCTGCATCATCTGTTGAGCTGGCTGCATCTGTTGAGCGGGCTGCATCATCTGTTGAGCTGGCTGCATCTGTTGAGCTGGCTGCATCTGTTGAGCTGGCTGCATCTGTTGAGCTGGCTGCATCTGTTGAGAGGACTGCATCTGTGGGACGGGTTGCATCTGTGGAGCTGACTGCTGAAACTGCGGATAGATGTACTGCTGTGGTTGTGGCATCATCAAATTCTGCATCATGGCTGCCTGCTGCTGCATCGCCACCATTTGACTCCAACCCATTGGCATTGGAATCGAGTACTGTGGCTGCGGCTGGATTTGCATGGGCATCGGTTGCTGTTGATACATTCGTTGGTCCATGACTTGATTGGCCGCCACCAATGGAGCCGCAAAAGCAGGAGCCGTCGCAACTGGAGCCGCCGCAACTGGAGCCGCCGCAACTGGAGCCGCCGCAAATGGAGCCATCGCCACCGATTGATGAGATCCTGCCATGGAAACAACCGCACCACCAGCGGCCGCAGGATCGGATGCAACACTCGCCGTCGATGCCGCCGCTTGAGCGTGAACCAGCTCGAGCAACTGGGCCTTCGTCATTTTCTTCAACACCTTGTCGTCCGGAATAACGGATGGATCTTCGGTCAGCAAGGAAGCCTCTTCTTCATCGTCCGAATCTTGAGTCAAGATCTCTTCTGGAACTGACTTCTTGGCGGATGCATTTTTCTTGGACTTGCTCGACTTCTTCCAAGTTGCATCCTTTTCTTTTTGCGCTTGGCGCTTGGAGGCTCGCTTGGCGCGTGGCTTACCGCCCCCATCATCGGATTCTTCCTCGTGGGTTCGTTGAGGAGGACGTGGATTTCCGTCTTCATCATCAGATTCCAACGCTAAGTCCTTATCAGAGCACATCAATGCCTTGAGAGCAGTCGATCGACCTTCATCTACGAGACGTGCATAAGGAATCTGACTCTGTTCGCACTTATGACGGGCGAATTTCAATCGAGCAGCCATTGGAACCCGAGCTTGATGCATCTTGGTGATTCCATAGGCACGAAGACCATGGTTTGAGAATTTCTCAAGATTCGTGACTCCAATGATCCCACCGAGTTCCTTTGCCTTCTTGGACACATTGTTGTGGCCTAGGTTGTACTGAGCAGTATCACCTGACGGTTGGAACCAAATGTCTCGATCCTTGTACTTGTTCCCGTGTATTTGATGGTTGGTGAAATACTTCTTGTATTCTTTCTTCTGCTTGCCAGAGGCAATCTTGGCAAAGAATTTCTCCGCTTCCGGATGACACTTGGACAGGTAGAAGTCAAAACACTTGAACGCACACAGCGGATCTCGAGAATTCTCGACGATTTCCAACCAGCGATCTTTTTCCGCAAGAGTGCCAGATCCGTAGAAGTTCAGTCGATGAGTTTTGTCTTCGGGAAGTCGGATTGCCATATGCAGACATCCAGCCAGGTCACCCATCTCGCGAGTATACATCCCGGAATAAGTATCGCGCATCATGAGCTCGGACATTTCCTTTCCACCCCGAAGAAGAAAAGATCGACCAAGGTGGTACACACAGACGAATTGGAGATGAAGCGGTTCTTTCCACGGTTGGAGTCGTCCGTCTTTGACAGCTTCGCGGATTTTCTTGTCCGCTTCCCAATCAATCTCCGAATGATGACTTCGAATTCCAAACGTTGGGTCTCCCTTGCGGATTTCCGCCCAGTATTGAATCATGACACCGTGGAAGTCTCCTTTGGCGTTGAAATCCTCTTTGAAGGAGTACAGAAACTTGCCATGAGTCTTTTTCTTCCACTCGCCAAAGACGTTGTTGATGTATTGGGTGAAGACGGTGGGAGAGAGCGGTTTTCCTTTGTTGGTTCCAGACAAACACAACCATTTCATTCCGCACAAGATTGAACAATAGTTCAGGATTTTGTGCTTGTTCCCATCTTTTTCTCCACACACCACATTGAAAAAGGCGAAATTAGTGGAAAGCCCTTGGTCGTAAGTGACGGGAACAATCTCAAGAAGACTGGCCAAAACGGAACCTCCATGATCTCGGATTGTACCGAAGAATCGCTTTTGAAGACTCTCACATTTCTTCTCGTGCTTTCTTCCTCGTCTTCCCATATCCTTGCAGTCATCTAGAAGCTTTTGTTCTTTCTCTGTCAAGTCCAAGGATGTAAAATCTCGACCCGATCCAAGGGTAGATGCAATTTCAGCAGCACTTTTCATTGGAATGGCTGCATTTTTTGGTGGATTTTCCCGTGTCGGAGTTTCTTCTTCCTCTGTTGTTGAGTCTGTGGCTGGGTTTTGAGGCGACAAGGAGACTCTGGCTGGA